AACAGTCAAACCACAGAGATTAAAGAATTTGTGGCAAGGATTTTGAGATGTTTATTTTCCTAAGATTTGATACACAATTATACATCTCTGAAGCCAACCAAAATGATTCCTCCTATATTTTCATGATGACCACTGAATAATGATTTGTCAACTAGGTGATAGCATTTCCCTTTCCTTTATAACTTCAGACTATTTAAAAAAAGAAAAACACATTTATACTGAGAAGCATCAGATTGACGTCTCAGCATTTTCATTAGAGAACCATAATGATCAGATGTTAATTCTAGGAGGAAAAAAGTTCAAGTGAAAAAGGTGTTTTTAGCTCAACAATAGTTCAACTCCAATCACAGAAACAACCTGACTCAGCAGTTTTTCCAGGCTTTAGTTCAAATAGGGCAAATTTTAAATAACTCCAGAGGAAAGAGATAAAAATACAGTGAAGATTAGAGCCATGCATTTCAGTATGGAAAGGAGACTAGATATAGGTAACAGTCTCCTTACATTCTTAATGGAGAGAAGAGCACAAGAGAAATAAGACTTCTATAGTGTTCATATTATAAGTATGGGAAAGCTTACATGAAGTGAAATATCTCATACAAACATTTTACACTGCATACTTTTATGCATTCACGCCCTTACACTAAAGTCAGTTAACTGCTTAGCTGCTTCTTCTTAAGTAGAATATTATTTCTGGAAATCTTCAGCTGGGAACATATCTTAAGTTTAAATATCTCTTTCAGTTACACTTTATGTAGTAAGAACAAAAGAGATGCCGAGATGAAATCTTGCAGGTGTTAACATAAGAGTAAAACATGGCTACAAATGTAATACATCAGGAATTACGGCAGTTACAGTAGCATTTAAATAAAGATGATTTTAATTACAGACACAACTCACCTGGGGGAATTATTACAATGGAAAAAGTCACACAGGAATTGATAATTTAAAAAAAAAAAAATCTTGTCAATATCAGCCAGCACTGATCATGCTATTATAACTCCAATTCAACAGTTTTTTAAATTTTTATTTGAAGAACTGTGTTCCTGTTATTTGAAAACATATTCTTGTCAAATCTTTGCAATCTTAAATACACAAGATTATTTTAATTCACTCTAATTAATAAGCAAACAAAAGACCTGGAGGACAAATTTTGTTTTACAATTGTCAATTTTACCCTTAGAGTTCTTTCAAACCTAGCTCTCCTTTATATCTACAATATCAACACAATATCATACCTGGGTTGACCCAGCATAGCTTCACTTACTGGAAACCCATCAGTTCCCCCAAATGTGTCTTTCTGAGAAACAGATTATGTCTTTTGGCTGGTTATAACAATTACACATTAAATGTGACAGTCTTATCCTAGTAGAAAATAGATTTCAGTTCTTCCTTTTTGTAATTTATCATTTCCACTTGAGAACCGTAGAGGATGCTAATAGAGTTTGTCAGGAAATTTCCACATTCAGAGTGGTGTTTATTTGACTGAAGATAGATGTTTGTTTGAAACAGAAGGACTTATCTGTACAAGAATATTTTCCAAAGCATGGAAAAAACAAACATTGTAGATTGAAGCTCCTTTTAAGAAAAGATAAAATTTGTGAGGCATTTTCCTCCCAAAGGGATTCTGTACCTTCCATTTCTGAAGTATTCCTGAGGATGTTTGTATTTTAGACTCAAACAATCATGAAGATTTTTACAGTAAAATTAACTCCATTCTGGACAACTTTAAAGATGTTATGAAATATTTCTGGAAGGAAAAACACTAATGATAATCCTGTCTATTTTAACCAAAATGTCTTGAAAAAAATTGATTGCTATGGATCGAAAGATCACTTAGAACCACAAGGTCGGTGGTTCAAACTCACCAGCCACTCCTTGGGAACCTTATACAGGATTGCTAGGAATTGAAACCGACTCGATGACACTTAACAACAACAACATCCAATGTTCAAGGAGTAAAACAGTACGGCAAAACAATAAGACATTAAAGTATTCCAATATTTTAAATCATCATAGGATTATGGATTACCAGAATTACATTATCATACTATATCTTTCTACTTAATTCTTTCTAGACCACTGATAATATTATTTTAAATAAATCTTTCATATGGTTTTCAACTTCAATGATTAATTTCTCAATGTTAAAAATTTCTTGAGAGTTAGTATAAATCCTTCACTCTGACAACTTTTTCTTATTCCCGTTTTAGTAAAGATAGCTATACCTGATAACTATCATTTGTTAAATTTTCTTTTCTTGAAGATCACTAGTGTACCTCTTCTTTTGTAGGCTAAATAAAGTACAATCTTTCTAAATGGATCTTTAAAAAATTATTTTAAGTTCTCCAAATTTCGCTTTTTTGAAGCAGAGTGGGTATCTGAAAGACATCGGCTAAACTGTGACTTGATTTTAAAGCTCAGTCTGTAGGGTCTTGTATGCCCCTGTGCATTCAGTCCAAAGGCAATTTATTGCTTTTTGCTTGTTCGTTACTCGTATTAAGAAAATCCTCAGTTGAAAAGTATTTCTTCATACTGACTATGCTTTTCAGAATTCTAATTGTGCTTACTTATTAAAACTGCCCTGATTACATTGTAAACCACTCTTTAATCTTTGCCAACGTGTTTGCAATTTGTCAACATTTTAATTTTACTTCTCCAGTTTATTTTTCTTCCCCAAGTCTGTCTTCAATTAGTGTTACCAAGGCCCATTCTTTATTATTTTTACTAGTTTTTCCAGTTTTTAATTTCCTTTGGATCCTGGCATTATCTTTACAGATATAGATTTGTATCAGTTCTACACATATTGATCTATTAAATGCCTCTAACTAAAATAGATATGGCTCATTTTAAAATACTATAGTGTAAATACATGGTACTCTTTTACTGATTAGGGACTGTCACCTAGGTATATGCCGAAAATAAATTAGACTTACTTTTCCCATCCTTTTCATATCTTCTTGGCAAAGTTTCACTAAAATTAATTATTTTTCTAGAATTGTTATTTCAAAGTAAATATTTCCCATTCTACTAAGGAGCTAAAATAAAAGATTTAATTAGTACAGTTTGTCCGAATTGGAAGAAATAACTGTTGTGTATGTTTATAAGCCTGTTTTTCACTGGATCATGCAGTTAGTGAATTAGAATGCAATACAGCATTGTCAACAGGCAGAACTCTCCTACAATACAGACAGAATTTTCTGCTGGATTCCCAGTTCCACCCAGGAAATCGATGAGGCAATGTAGAATGATGTTCCGAGGTACTTTTTTTTTTTTTTTTTTAAAGGCATGTTTTCCCTCAGGCACAACAGTTTTTATTAAAAGTCAATCTAGCAGCTACCCCCACTTCTCAGTTCAAACCTGTGATGCTTGAAAAGAAAAAATGGAAAAGGGAAAACTATCATTTCCTTTAATTGGACTCTGAAAAAATCCACCTAGTCTCTCTATTGCTGGTACTAGGGAGATTCAACACCAATAAAATGAAGGAAACATTTAGGGACCTCAAGGCAATGCAGGTTGGAAAGAGTAGGTTAGGTTGCTTTAGGATCAACACTTTATGAAGATTTACTTCCTTTTCGATACTTTAACCTGAATCCCTATTTTGGTGACGATTTTCAACTATGTACTCCAAAGTTGCATAATAAATTACATTGCTAAAAACAGCACTCACATAAGGAACTCAAAATCCCTTGTTTGCTTTGGTAATGGAGACCACTACTTAGTAGACAAATGACCGATGAAAGCTCCCGAACTGTGCTTATGACTTACCAACTGGCTGCCATCTTTGAAGGACCAATTCCATTTATGTGCCACTCACTTCCACTCATTAAGCCATGTGGCTCTATGAATCTTCATTGTCATCATCCTACACTGCTAATGGTCTTTGTGTTAACAGAGACGCTCACTTTTATTTTGAAGAGAAGTTACAGATATCTGTACATGAAAAGGTTAAATCCTTATGATTTTAAATAAGTTAAGGCTACCTGACAAGGACAAGGAATCAAGGCTTGGAGCAATTGTGCGGGCAGCACTTGAAAGTTAAGGAGCCCAAGAATGTTAGACCTTTTAGCTCAATTAGCAGTTTTCCTTGTTTGTCAGATTACATGCAGAATAAACTCACTATGAAAATCCACGGTCTTAAATCATGTCCTATAAGTTACCCAGCAGAATCTGTAAATGAACTAGGAACATGTGTTATCTCAACATATTATAATGATTGTAGGCACCTGAGTGTTTGTCAAAACTAGACAATGAGCTAAGATTTATTATCTATTGTTTTTTGGCAAGGAAGATTCATTATGGAAAAAAAAAAATCAACAACAAATCCTACACTTTTAATCAAGCTTGGAATACTTTCTGGGTAAATTAACTAAATGCTACCTTACATTTAAGGAGCTGTGGTAGCGTAGTGGTTACGAGTTGGGCTGCCAACCGCAAGGTCAGCAATTCGAAACTACCAGCAGTTCCATGGGAGGAAGATGAGGCGTTCTGCTCCCATAAAGATTTACAGCCTCGGAAACCCTGTACAGGGTCACTATGAGTCGGAACCGACTCCACGGTACTTAACAACAACAACAACCTTACATTTACCTATGTATATATTATCCAATCTGTACTTGTTAACATTTAGCAGGGAAGATTCATAGTAGAACCCTGAATTTGGAAGAAGTAAAAAATCCTGGTGATTAAATAAACACTCCATTTCCCCCCGTCAAATTAGTTAGCCTTTTTAAACACACACACACCCAGGAGCAGCACCAGTGCATCTATTTGTCTGCAATTAAAAAAAGAATTAAAGATGCAGTCAAAAATTGAGTAAATCAATGAATAATAACTTTGTCTCTTTCTTAGATTTACTTAATAGTGTCCAGTAAAGAGCTTATGTTAAAAAAAAGAAAATCCAGTAGTTGATAAGCTATTAGAAATAAGTGCATGAACAATATCAATGTAGCAGCAAAATACAGTTATTTTTAACATTCCAATGCACCTCATTTATCACTTTGTGCAAGAAAAGTGACCACAGTCTGGCCAATTCCATATTTTGAACCAAATTAAAATTCATACTTAATTGAGCAAATTATGCTTATTTGGAAAATAGATGAACTAACTTCACCTCTCATAGAAGTGATTTTTTTATGGACACAAATCATGTAGCAAATAAAGTATAAAATAAATATCAATGACAAAAAATATTGAAATCAACTTCTATAGCTGGATTTGGATTGTGAGTAAAGAACGATTTTACAACGTATGTATTTTACATGGTCTTAGGTGTCTCTCAAATGCTATCGAGGTAATGCCAGCCATCTGAGATACGCGAGTTTCGTGTTTGTTTTTATTTAATTGGAACATAGCCATTTGGTTGCAGAAGTTTATAATTTAGAGAAACCGTAAGATGTTGTGTTATTCTTCTCAACTTTCTCTCATCTTCCACAATGATGGACATTCATCCGATCGTATATCTAGCAACTAGGAAGAAAACACCCACTGGGTCTTGGGCAGTATTCTGTGTGTGTTTACACAACTTTCACCCCAGATGCTCGTCCACGGGAGATGAAGAATAGGGGTAGGGAGGCTTGGAGAGACAGTGAAGAGGTGCACACTGGGAGCTGGAATGTGGTTGCTCATCAGGGAGAGCTACATCAGGACTGCAAATGAGAAACAAGCCAGTTGTAAGGATTAGACAAAACATTTCCGCATAAAAATTTTTAAATATTCATGGGAATTTTGCATAGAAAATAGTTTAAATGTTACCAAGACAACTTCAGCTTTTCAAAACAATGGACAAAAAAAGAAAAATGAAATGTGTTAAGGAAATGATACAGGAATTCTTCCCTGCAGTCCTGCTTTTCCATTTTTGCACACAGCATCACATCCCTAAGCCTGTGGGTCAGCTGCCAGGTTTCTTTAGGTCAATTCTTTTCTCACTTAACGTGCATAACAAATCACCTGGGGTTCTGGTAAAATGTGGATCCTGGTTCAGTAGGTGTGAGCTGGGATCTGAGAATCTGCATTCCTCACAAGCTTCTGGGTGATGCTGGTGTTGCTTGTCCAAGAACCTAGGCACCAGAGGATTCTGTGGTTTGCTAAAGGAGCCCCAGCGGTGTTATGTTCTCACCGGCTAACCAAAGGTTGGCAGGTTCCAGGGGGAGAATGATGTAGCAGATTACAGCTTTGCAAATCCTATGGAGCAGTTCCACTCCAAGGTGTCCTGGACATTAGTGGTGACACCTTGGGCTGCTAACTGAAAGGTCAATGGTTCAAATCTACCAGCTGCTCTGCAGGAAAAAGATGAGACTTTCTGCTTCTGTAATGATTTATAGCTTCAGAAATCCTATACAGGGTCGCTATGAGTCAGAACCGACTCGAAGGCACACTATCACCACAGATCTAGTCTACTCTATAAACACAAAACTGAAACCCAATACCTTGGGATCAATTCAATATAGGATTTCCAAGGCTTTATGGGAGCTGACAGCTTCATCTTTCTCCTGAAGGGTCACTACAAACTGGAATCAACTCAAAGGTAATGGTTGCTGTTGTTGTTTTTCAGCAGCTCAATGATGGATTCAGATTCAACTAGATAATAAGTTTGCCTGTGGAGGCATATATAGTTCTAAGGGTTTTCTGTAGCTGGTTTAACTTGGTGGTGTAAATGAGACTGAAGAGCTTTAATACATTTCCCAACAGTTAAGTACATAGTATGTCTTTCAAACAACCTCTCCTCGGGGCTGCTGGCATAAATGAACACAGGAGTGCTCAGGTTCATCTACGTATTTATCATCCCTAATTTTGGAGAATAAGGACGTGAAAGCACTGGATTTCTTAGGGTAAAACCAAAGAACCTTTTTAAGTGTGATCAACAGTGTATATAACTATACTATAGACATTATTTTTATTTTAAAAGATCTGCTTTTTTCTCCTATAAAAAAGTCTGGTGGTGCTTTATGTTCGACATTGGACTGCTAACCCCAAGGTTAGCAATTCAAAATCGACCAGCCGCTCTGTGGGAGAAAGATGAGGCTATCTGCTCTCATAAGAATTTATAGTCTCAGACACCCTATATAGGGTTGCTCTGAGTTGGAATTGGCTTGACGGCAGTGGACTTATGTTTAAATTAATCACCATATAAATATAACTCATTTCTCTGTTTGAGAAAACTCTTTAAAGTTTTTATAATTATTATTCATCAATTTAAATACAGTTTCTTTAGTTAAATTATCACTGAATTCATGTTAAAAATTAGTTTTAAACAAATTTTCTTTAGTACTGAATTATCCTTCATACATAGCTCTTGAATTATAAAATGATAATCATGTAAAGTATCTGGTCTGTTTGAGGTTACTTTACTTCCCAAGCTCTTTGTTTGAACTGTTGTCAGTTTAATTCAAGGACAGATTTGTTATCTTATATTAGGATAATCAGTGATAAAAAATTAATTTTATCTAGCTATTTTTAAAATGGAGTCCTGGTGTGGCGCTGTGATCTAATGTGCTGGACTGCACAATTGGTTTGAACCACAAGGTCGGTGGTTCAATCTCACCTGCTACTCCTTGGAAACCCTATACAGGGTTGCTATGGGTTGGAACCGACTTGATGGCACTTAACACCACACACACACCAGGAGAACCAGAGCTCAAGCAAAAAGACTACAAAAAGAATGCACTGAAAGATACAGCGTGGCACTCCAGATGGAATCATATGGCCAGAGGAACACAGCAAGTGATAGCTTCATCAGACATGTTTTTTCCACAGACCTAACCAATTTAGGAAATTTACATAACATAGAACAAGTTCCTTTTTAGGGGATTAAGTACATTAACCAATGTAAGTATGACAAGCAGTGGTGGTCACATTATATGACAGGGATGAGTTTGAAGACCTTGGGTAATTCAAGATTCTTCTAGATAAAGGAAGTCAAGTGATTTTCACTTGAAAGCTGAAGTGTATAATAACAACTTCAACATAGTTAGAACACACTCAACCCAACAACCTGACATTAAGTCTTTATGATGATTACATTTTGTTCATTATATTAGATTTCTTACACAAAGCAAGAGATAATAAATGTTTTATGTCTGTTATCACTGTTTTACATGTGCATAAAATGCAATCACACTGCATATACTCATATTTTGTGGCATATATATTCTTGACTTACAGGTTAAGCAATTATTTTTTTAATGCAAATATTTGTTAAGCATTACCATTCAAGAAACAGGATGAGTTCCATTTCAATTCAGGATGCTCACTTGTTATTCATTTTTTATCATTTAAGTATTTACTTTTCCCTATGCAGATAATGTGGAGTCCTGCTGTGGTACTGTGGGTTAATGCTCCAGACTGCAAAGCTATTTGAACTACAAGATCGGTGGTTCAAACTCACCAGCTGCTCCTCGGAAACCCTCTACAGGGTCACTATGAGTCAGAACTGACTCGATGGCACTTAACAACAACAACAATGCAGTTAATGTAAAGATAAAGATGAGGTGATAAAAAAAATCACTCAACATTCCTAGTAAATGTTGTTTCTTATATATTTAACAAGTGCTCCTTTTCAATTAGGAGATAAAAGAGTCAATGTGGGTGATTTACATACTGTTATTTGCTCCCCAAGACAGATCTCCATATGTTTTTTTGATGATGAATGCAGTGCCACTCAGCAGTTCTTAAGCTGGGAGAACAGATGAGAAAATTCAAGCCTCAATTAGCAATATTTAAGGATTCTATGGGCAAAATATTGAAGGAGCAGAAAGGATCAAAAGAAGATGGAAGGGATACACAGAGTCACCATACCAAAAAGAAATGGTCGATACTCAACCATTTCAAGAGGTAGTATATGATCAAGAGCCAATGATACTGAAGGAAGAAGTCCAAGGTGCACTGAAGATACTGGCAAAGAACAAGGTACCAGGAACTGATGGAATACAAATTGAAATCGTTCAACAAATTGATGCACCACTGGAGGCACTTACTCACCTATGCCAAGAAATTTGGAAGACAACTTTTCCAACTGACTGTAAGAGTTTCGTATCTGTGCTCATTGCAAAACGGAATGCAGAACACATCAATATCATCATTCAAGTAAAATGTTGCTAAAGGTAATTAAACAAACAAACATACAAAAACCCGACTGTAACCCTACATTGACAAAGAACTTCCACAGATTTAAGAGTGATTCATAAGACAATGTGGAATGAGTGATATCATTGCTGACGTCAGATGGATCTTGGCTGAAAGCAGAGAATACCAGAAAAATGTTTACCCGTACTTTATGGACTATGCAAAGGCTTTCTTTCCATTGTGTGGATCATGACACGCTAAGGACAACATTACAGAGAATGATTATTCCGGAACACTTGTTTGTGCTCATGAGGAACCTGTACATAGACCAAGAGGCACTTACTCAAATAGAACAAGAGAACACCAAATGCTTTAAAATTAGGAAAGGTGTTTGCCAAGGTTATATTCTTTCACCATACTTATTCAATCTGTATGCTGAGCAAATAGTCTGAGAAGCTGAATTATTATGAAAAAAAAAAAAATGTGGCATCAGGATTGGAGAAAGGAAGGCTCATTAACAACCTACAATATTCAGATGATACAACCTAGCATGCTGAAAGCGAAGATGACTTAGAATACTTACTGATGAAGATCAAAGACCACAGCCTGCAGTATGGGTTGTACTTCAATGTAAAGAAAACAGAAATCCTCACCACTGGACCAATAAACAGCATCATAATAAATGGAGAAAAGATTGAAGTTGTCAAAGATTTCATTTTGCTCAGATGAACTATCAACACTCAGAGAAACAGCAGTCAAGAAATCAAACGACATATTACATTAGACAAATGTGCTGTACAAGACTCTTCAGAGTGTTCAAGAGCAAAGATGTCAGCTTGAGACTAAGGTGTGCCTGACCCAAGCCATGGTATTTTCAGTAACTTCATATGCATGCGAAAGCTGGACAGTGAATAAGGAAGACCGTAGAAGAATTGATGCATTTGAGTTACAGTGCTGGAGGAGAATATTAAAGGTACCATGCACTGCCAAAGAACAAACAAATCTGTGTTGGAAGAAGTACAGTCAGAATGCTCCTTGAAAGCCAGAATGGCCAGACTTAGTCTCTCATACTTTGGATATATTGCCAGGAGGAACCAGTACCTGGAGAAGGATAGTATGTTTGGGTAAAGTGGAGGGTTGGAGAAAGGGAGGAATACCCCCAATGAGGTGGATTGGTAGTGTCAGCAGCAATGGGTTCGGACATAGCAATGTTGTGAGGGTGGCCCATGACCAGGCAGTGTTTTGTTATGTTGTGCACAGGGTCACTATGAGTCAGTACCGACTCTACGGAACCTAGGAAGAACAACTTTGCTCCTCACAATAGACCCAAAATTGGGAAAAATGAATTGGTAAATGGCAGCGATTACAAAAACTGCTTTCTTAGATGTGTGATCTTGTACAATTATTTGACCTTCTTCCACCTCAACTGGAGCCCTGGATAAGCATTGGAACTGTAGGATAAGCACTAGACTGCTAGTAGCCAGGTTGGCGGTTAAAACTCACCAGTCCCTCCTTGGAAAACCTATGTTGTTTCTAAGTGCCATTGAGTTGGTTCCGACTAATAGCAACCCTGTGCAAGATTTCC